GGTCAAGAAGCAAAATATTACTCTCTGCTTCGCTGATTGCTACATGCTGGAAAAGTACACAAATCTCTGGCTTAAAAATTACATTTATATAGCAACTTTCACAACTTCAGGACTTCCCAGCGTACATAAAACCAATGGTATAGTTTGGAAGTGTGGGTACACTGTTGCAATACAGGAAATACAGCGACCAATGTGTGTACAGTGATATATCGAGATATTTATCACTGAGGGATAAATATCTTTGTCTTTACTCTAGTGCTATTCTGGCTGTTAACCCTGTGACCCAAATTACTCTATAGAATTTTGAAACATTTTGCATCTGATTTTCTCCACCTGGACACTGTGCTTTTCCAAATGTTGAAAAGATACCTTCAGCCTGTCACCGCGCATCTGCCGATTTAGAGATGAAATAATGCTGTCATCCAAATAGCACTCTCCTCCGTGAATTTCTTGAAAGATTTGATTCCTCAGCCCTCAAAGATTCCAGCGCCTGGATCAACAGCCAAATGGTAGTCAATGAAAATGAAACTGACCCATCTGGGTATTCAAAAATGACTTTGAATCATCATCTAATTCAACTTGGAGATAGGCACTTGTTAGATGTAGTTTTGAAAAACATCTGGCCTGCTGACAACATAGTCAATAGTTCCCCAGTGTTTTGCAAACTATTGGCTGGATGACATTCTTGTAGACAATTTACAATTACTTTATAATCCTTGCTGAAAGGGACATTGTTTATATGGTCTCTCAAAGACCGAACAGGACTGACGTTTCTTTGTCTTAGTGTTTATTTCTGCACGCATGCGAGGTGTACCCTTCAAAGATGGCTCACAACTCCCTGATTTGCTACAAAACAATAGTTTTATATCATTTTCTGGCAATTTCTTTACACAGCGAGTGGTTTGTGTGTGGAATGAACTTCCAGAGGAAGTGGTGGATACGGGTACATTTATAATGTTTAAAAGACACTTAGATAAGTACATGAATAGGAAAGATTTGGAGGGGTATGGGCCAAGTGCAGGAAAGTGGGACAAGTTTAGTTTGGGATTATGGTCAGCATGGACTGGTTGGACAGAAAGGTCTGTTTCCATGCCGTATGACTCCATGATTCTAAAAGGTTTCCAATAAAAAGATTACGCATTTACAGATTCTCCTCTGTATCCGACAGTGTTCATTCTACTTTACATAAGTATGCATAATTACATTATGAACTGTATTCAAATTTGCACACATGCTCATAATACCTAATCAAATCACCATATATTCACATCTACTGGCTGTAAGTGTGCTCTTTGTGATTATCGAAACGCCTTACTGTGCTTTACCCTTCTAACGCACAGGATCTTAAACAACCATTTGCCTTTGGTGCTAAACCTGTGGGAGGAGCTCAGTTATACTGATCGACATTTGTGATCAGGTTCTCTGTCTCTGGTCACTTCAGCTCTTGCTCTATTTTCTCCCTTAGAGCATAGCACACAGCACCAGCAGCTTTCTGCAATCTCTGGTGGTTTGGGACTGAGGTGTTGCTCAGACTTATGCAAAATGCCTGACAGCGTGTGTCTTTTGGTTGAAGCCGAGCATGCAAAATCTTGGGCGTGCCATACACTCCTGGGCCAGCTTCAGTTGAAACTGTCCACATTTTGTCTGTTTTCCATTCCCCTTACATTCTGTCCTCCACTTTCCCCACAGCCATATTGTTTTTGTAGCTCATTTATTTTACACTTAGCAAAAAGGACCAATTCTCTCCCTTACACACTTAAACTGATCCCACTACCAAGGACATTTTTCCCTCCCCACCCTTATCTGCCTTCCGAAGGGACCGCTCTCTCCGTGACTGCCTCATCCGCTCCACACTCCCCACTAGCCCTACCACCCACGGCACTTTTCCCTGCAACCGCAGGAAGTGCTACACCTGCCCCTACACCTCCCCCCTCACTTCCATCCCAGGCCCCAAGAAAACCTTCCACATCAAACAGATGTTCACCTGCACATCTGCTAATGTGGTATATTGTATATGCTGTTCCTGATGTGGCCTCCTCTACATCGGGGAAACCAAGCGGAGGCTTGGAGACCGCTTTGCGGAACACCTACGCTCGGTTTGTGACAAACGACTGCACCTCCCAGTCGCGAACCACTTCAACTCCCCCTCCCCCTCCCACTCCTTGGACGACATGTCCATCCTGGGCCTCCTGCAATGCCACAATGATGCCACCCGAAGGCTGCAGGAACAGCACCTCCTATTTCGCTTGGGAACCCTGCAGCCCAATGGTATCAATGTGGATTTCACAAGTTTCAAAATCTCCCCTCCCCCGACCTCATCCCAAAACCAGCCCATCTCGTCCCCGACTCCTTGACCTGTCTGTCTTTTCTCCCACCTATCCGCTCCTCCCACCTCACTGACCACCCCCAACCCCACTTCCTACCTACTAACTTCATCCCCGCCTCCTTGACCTGTCCGTCTTCTCTCAACTGACCAACCCCCAACCTAACTCCCCACCTACACTCACCTTTACTGGCTCCATCCCCGCCTCCTTGACCTGTCTGTCTCCTCTCCACCTATCTGCTCCTTTATCCAACTTCCATCATCGCCTCCCCCTCTCTCTCTATTTATTTCAGAGTCCCCTTCCCCTCCCCCATTTCTGAAGAAGGGTCCAGACCCGAAAAGTCAGCTTTCCTGCTCCTCTGATGCTGCTGACCAGCTATGTTCATCCAGCTCCAGACCTTATTATCTCAGACTCCAGGACTGGCAGTTCCTACTGTTTCTGATTTATATCTCCTTTTCTCCACCACGAGCAACCCTGGGCCCCTGCCTCTATCAGTCCAATTTTCCAACAACTTTCAGTTCTGAAGAAGCCATACTGAACTTGAATCATTAACTCTGTCTTTCTCTCCAGATATGCCACCAGGCCTGATGAATTTCTCTAGCATTCTTCATGTTTGTTTCAGTCACATTTATAAACTGCCTTTCCATGAAGACTGAACTTTTAAAACAATTGCTCAGCAAAATAAATATCTTGTAAATATCTGCAGGATTGTTATTAGCTTATCCAACCCAAATTTGTTTTGTTGAGGGCACCCACAATCCCACCTTAATGTGATATGTTTGCAGAACAGACTAAAATAGTGTCCAGCTCATAGGAGAGTCAATACTGAATTAAAACTGGTTTATTGCGGTATATACATATATTCAAATGACCACAAACGCAACTTTCCAATGAATCAATACAGTAAATTTACCTCTCTATTATCCTCAGCCGTGCCCAGTACTCCAAGAATATTTGACATTTTTATGTGAGTTACACACCTTTAAATATTTATATTTAAGGTAAGGGGCAGGAGGTTTAGAGGAGACATGAGGGTTTTTTTTTGCACAGAGAGTTGTGGGAATCTGGCACTCACTAATCATAAAAGTGGGAGAGGCAGAAACCCTCATAATATTTAAGACATATTCAGATGTGCACTTGTAATGCCAGTTATACAGGCTATGGGCCAAGTGCTTGAAAATGGGATGAGAACAATTAAGTGGTTGTTTTTGAGATAGTAGGAACTGCAGATGCTGGAGAATCTGAGATAACAAGGTGTAGAGCTGGATGAACACAGCGGGCCAAGCAGCATCAGAGGAGCAGGAAGGCTGACGTTTCGGGCCTAGACCCTTCTTCAGAAAATGGCTTCGCAGTGGGGTTAAAATTGTTTCAGAGATAGTAGGAACTGCAGATGTTGGAGAATCTGAGATAACAAGGTGTAGAGCTGGATGAACACAGCAGGCCAAGCAGCATCAGAGGAGCGGGAAGGCTGATGTTTCAGGCCTAGACCCCAGATTTGTTGGGCTGAAGGGCCTTTTACTGTGCTGTGGATATCCATGACTCTGTGGTCTGGACTGAGGGAATCATCATATGAGTTAAGGCCTGACAGGCTGGACCATAAAATGTAGGAGCAGAATTAGGCCATTTGGCCCATTGAGTCTGTTTCACCATTCGGTCATGGCTGAACTGTTTCTCAACCCCATTCTCCTGCCTACTTCCTGTAACCCTTGATCCATTTAGTAATCAAGAACCTTTGTCAAGAGCATCTTAAAGACACTGAATGACTTGGTTTCCACAGCCCTCTGTGACAATGAGTTCACTCCCTGGCTGAAGAAATTCCTCCTCATCTCAGTTCTGAAGGCTCATCTCTTCGTTCTGAGGCTGTGCCCTTGGATCATAGTCTCACCTCTGAGTGAAAATATCTCCACGTCCACTCCAACCAGATCTCTCAGTATTCTGTAAGTTTTAAACAGATCCCCCCCTTATCCTTCTACAATCTATCCAGTACAGTCCCAGAGTCCCCAGCTGCCCTTCATATAACAAGCCCTTCATCCCCAGGATCATTCTTGCAAACCTCCTTTGAACCCTCAGCAACATCAGCACATCCTTCCTTAGATACAGGTCCTGAAATCGTATCCTTTAGAGTTTAGAAGAATGAGGTGATGTTATTGAAACAAAAAGATCCTGACAAGGTGGATTCTGAAAAGGTGTTTCCCTTTTGGGAGAGGCTGGAACTAAGGGATGTTGCTTAAAGGGCCTCAAATTTAAGAGGGAGATGTGGAGAAATTTGTTTCTCAGAGTGCCATGAGTTTTTGGAACTCTCTTCCCTAGATAGTGGGGAAGCTGGGACATGGACTATTTCTAAGGCAGAGATAGATAGATTTCTGACCAACAAGAGAGTCTGTTGAGGGCAGGTGGAGATCAGACCACAATCAGAATATTTGTATTAAATTAGATAACAAGGTGTAGAGCTGGATGAACACAACAGGCCAGGCATTTGTATTAAATTGTAATGCAGGCTCAAAGGGATTACTGGCTTACTCCTGCTCCTGTACAACTTGATGTTTTGTAAGTATATAAGTAATTTTTAGTTTCATCTTCTGAAGAGTGTGCAAATGAGTTGTAAGCAAATGAGATGAATGTATTATTGAAGCATTGGCTGTCTGTGAATGTACCTGCGTATTCTTGCCTTTTCAGTTGATAGTCTGGGATTGGGACTCCAATGGTAAGCATGACTTTATTGGAGAATTCACTTCGACCTTTTCAGAAATGCGTGGAGCGATGGATGGCAGACAGGTAGGGGAAGCACTTTTTACATTTGAGCATTTCATACTTCTACAGAAATGTATTAGCTCTGTTAGCTCCACACTACTGTAAAACCAATAAGCTCTGTTGTCCCTGTCTTTATCTCATTGCAGGTTCAATGGGAATGCATCAACCACAAATACAAAGTCAAGAAGAAAAACTATAAGAACTCTGGCATCGTCATTCTCAACCTCTGTAAAGTGAGTCTCCCTTCTTCTGCCTCTGACTGCCTGTAGATGTGAAAACCAAAAGTAGACGACCCAATTCAGTAGACTGTGACAGACTGTTTCCCCCAGATTGAAGAGTCTTGATCTATACAGGTCACGGTCACACTACAGGAGTTGGGGTTTTGGCCTGGGTTGAAGAGAAATCTCTTTGCACACAGAGTTGTGAATGTTTGGAATTCCTTACCTGTGGATGCTCAGTTGTTGTACTCAACAATGAAATCAGTAGGATTTTGGACACGAAGAGAATTAAGGGATATGTTATGTCATGACCCATAGAGTCATACATCATGGAAATAGACCCTTTGATCTGACCAGTCCATGCCAACCATAATCTGAAATGAAACTAGTCCCACCTGCCTGCGTTCGGCCCATATCCCTCTAAACATTTCTTATTCGTATAATTTTCTAAATGTCTTTTAATTGTTGTAACTGCACCTGCATCCACCACTTGTTCTAAAAGTTCATTTCACACATGAGCCACTTTCCATGTGAAAAAGCTGCCCCTCATGTCTTTTTTTACATCTTTCTCCTCTCACCTTAAAAATATGCCCCCTAGTCTTGAAATCCCCCACTTTAGGGAAAAGACACTTGCTATTCACCTTGTCTGTGCCCCTCATGACCTTATAAACCTCTACAAGGTTACCGCTCAGCCTCCTATGCTCCAGAGAAAAAAGTCCCAGCCTATCCAGCCTCTCCTTATACCTCAAACCCTCCAATCCAGGCAATAACCTGATAAATCTCTTCTGAACCAGAAGCGTGGAATTATAGTTGAAGGCTTATCTTTATCTTATGGAATGGAGAAGCAGGCTTGAAGAACCAAATGGTCTACTCCAGTTTCTTATGAACCCACTGAACAATGAGATGTGTTTTTTCTATAGTTTGGCTAACCATTGGACTCTTTCTGCTCCTTAGCCACCCCACCAACACCCCTGCCCATCCCCAGTTCACAGCCCCCTCCCCAACACCCCATGGGGCAGCTCTCTATTGTTGGCATTTTGCTTTTTGGGATATTGTAGAGTCTGGGTCTTGGCACCTGCTTTGACTACCCCTACCTCGCTCCTGTCAGCAAAGTAAACCTCAGGGAGAGAGAAATTTTCAGTTTGGGGTATGCAAACCTTTCTCCATGAGGCTAAAGGAACTGGGCGGATTTCTCTGTGTCACTGGGTCATGCACATAGCAAATGGACGAACGTCATTTTTCAATTAGCGTTAGCTGCTGTGAACTCCTACACGGGAACACAAGGCAGTTACAAACAGGAATCAGCCTCTTGTCCCCTCGAGCCCCCTTTGCCTTTTGATGGTTTGGCTGATGTGAATGTGGACTCACCTACACTTGCCAGTCTCCCCCTAACCCTTAGCACACTTGTTGATCAGAATCTCTCCCTCTTCGGCCTTGAATACACTCAATTATTCAGCTTTCACTGCTCCTTGAGGAAGAGAATGCCGCAAAGTCATGACCCTCTGAGAGGAAACATTTCTCCTCATCTCGGTCTGAAATGGAGACCTCTTATTTTTAAACTGTTCTCCCTCATTCCAGACACCCCGCGAAGTGGGAACGCCTTCCCAACGTCAAGGCCCCCTCAGGATATTCTCAATTTTAATAAGATTTCATTCCTTAGAAGTCCAATTGGTATTGACCCACCCTGCTCAACCTTTCCTCATGGGGAGGCCATTCAGCCCCTCCCAACCTGTTCCATCATTCACTTAGATCACATCTGATCTCCAACTCAATTCTGTTCAGTGCCTTACCTGCATGGTCCTCATTACCTTTACTCAATCTGAGTCCTGAAAGCTCTAAGCAATAACACCTTGTGGCAGTGAACCCTAGGTTTCTGCTACAGTAAAAAATGGTAGCAGTGGGTTTGGAAAGTGTAGTCTAAGGAGCCTTTCGTCATCATGTTGCCCACACACCTTCAAGTGTTTTAACATGATAGTGACTCTCGTTAACAGCATCTGAGTGAAGGCTCTGATTCTGCTGCTTAAAGTAATGACCTTTCTTCCTGACCTGCAGATCCACAAGATGCACTCGTTCCTCGATTACATCATGGGCGGGTGTCAGATTCAGTTTACAGTAAGTGACTCTTCATTACAGATTTTAATCCGATTATAAATCCAGCCCTGCCCCTTTGCTGCTATAACTGTTGAGTCGGTTATTAATGGGCACGAGTATTCGAACGATTGGTGTTTGAGGCTGAGCAGAGAGTACCACACAATCAAGTGGTCTTCCCCCTGTCTCCGATGTGGAGCGTTCGACTTGTTGAGGCTTCAAACTCATACATCGAACAAAACACTCAGCAAAGGCCATGAGATTCTTAATTAAGGAGAGCTGCTGCAGCAACTGTGGAGCTCAGAGTGGAAAGTCCAAATCAGGGCCCCCTCAGAGATTGATGAGGGCAAGGAAATATTGACACAGTCTACCTGTAAACCCTTCTCTTTTCATGTCTAGCTAACACTGAAACGCCTCAATGCTGAGAGACTTCCTGAGGGGTGAGGGGGCGTCAGGCCCCGAGCAGAATAGAGTGGTTAAAGAAACAAAACTCCAATGGAATTAGAATCGGGATGCTGTGTGGCCATTCAGTGCTCCATTCTAGTCCACGTTGCTGCTGCCTTTCTGACCTGTCACTGAATTTGCCGTCTACCACATCCAGAAACTACTGTCAACCTTTAGCTCCACCCCTGACATTTCCCCTGTGACCAGTCATGTCTCCACACCACACCCATGCCAGCCATATTGTCCTCTGAAAGTCTATTCTTCTCAAACTCGAAGAATCATACTGTGCAGAAGAGATCCTTTGGCCCATCAAGTCTACACCAACAGGTGAGAAACACCTGACGTTCAACCTAATCCAATTTACCAGCACTTGGCCCGTAGCCGTGAATGTTATGACGTGCCAAGTGCTCATGCAGATGCTTTTCAAAGGATATGAGGCAACTTGCCTCTACCACCCTCCCAGGCAGCACGTTCCAAACCATCACCACCCTCTGGGTCAAAAAGGTTTTTCTTCACATCCCTTCTCAACCTCCTGCCCCTCACCTTGCACCCATGACCCCTCGTAACTAACCCTTTAATTCAGGGGAACAGCTGCTCCTTATGCACTCTGTCCATACCCCTCATAATCCTGTACACCTCAATCAGCTCGCCCATCAGTTTTCTCTGCTCCAATGCAAACAACCGAAGCCTATCCAACCTATCCTCAGAACCATCCCACACAATATCCTGGTGAATCTCCTCTGCACTCCCTCCAGTGCAGTCACATCCTTCCTGTAATGTAGCAAGCAGAACTGCATGCAGTACTCTAGCTGTGCTCTCACAAAAGTTCTATACAACTCCAACATGGCTTCCCCATTTTTGTAATCTATGCCGTGATTGATGAAGGTAAGTGCCTTTTTCACCACCTTGCTAACATGCCCTTGGGAACCCTGCAGCCTAATAGTATCAATGTGGACTTCACAAGCTTCAAAATCTCCCCGCCCCCGACCGCATCCCAAAACCAGCACAGCTCGTCCCCTCCTCCCTAATCTGTCTGTCCTTTCTCCCACCTATCCACTCCTCCCACCCCAAGCCCCACCCCCACCTCCTACCTACCAGCCTCATCCCCGCCTCCTTGTCCTGTCCGTCTTCCCTGGACTGACCAATCCCCATCCTAACTCCCTACCTACACTCACCATTACTGGCTCCATCCCCGCCTCCTTGACCTGTCTGTCTTCCCTGGACTGACCAATCCCCATCCTAACTCCCCACCTGCACTCACCTTTACTGGCTCCATCCCCGCCTCTTTGACCTGTCTGTTTCCTCTCCACCTATCTTCTCCTCTATCCATCTTCTATCCGCCTCCCCCCTCTCTCCCTATTTATTTCAGAATCCCCTTCCCCTCCCCCATTTCTGAAGAAGGGTCTAGACCCGAAACGTCAGCCTTCCTGCTCCTCTGAAGCTGCTTGGCCTGCTGTGTTCATCCAGCTCTACAACTTGTTTTATCAGGGATAGGGAGAGATTACATTTCCCAGCCGGTGATGTGGGACCCTCCCTCCTGGTTTGGGAGTGGGGTGAGGGGTGATGATGCACGAAGATCACTTGCTGGTGATCACATAAACCATTGTCCTGAAATCTCCTGGTTTGTTTTGCCGGGCACCGGGAGATTGGCGCCGGTTCCAGCGCTGGCCATTCTGTGGTAGCTGCCAACCTTCCTAATCTGCTCCCTCTGTAAGACTGCGAATGTCTAAATCTCACAGCGAGTCCCATTCTACTGTTGCTTGCCAACCCACGTTGGTTCCCAGTCGAGCAACGCCTCCGTTTTAAATTTCTCGCCTTAAGTTTTCAAATTTCTCCATTCTTCCCCACCCCCCCAACCTCCCCCCAAAAGCCCCATGTCCATCATCTCCACCAACCTCACCACCCTCCAATGTCTCTGCACTGCCCTCATTCTGGCTCCTTGTACGCCGCTGATGTCGGGCCCCTCACTGTTGGCACTGTGCCTTCAGCTGTGCAGAGTTTAAGCTCTGGAATTCCCTCACTAAACCTCTCCATCTGTACTATCCTTTAAAACCTACCTTACTGCCCAAGCTCAAGAGACAACAAGGTGCAGAGCTGGATGAACACAGCAGGCCAAGCAGCATCATAGGAGCAGAAAGGCTGATGTTTCGGGCCTAGACCCTTCTGTCAGCCACCTGCGCCACACTCAGCGTACATAGCTCAGTGTCAGATTCTGCTTTGTAACGCTCCAAGCGCTTTGGGACTTAGCACAATGCTAAAGATGCTATATAAACACTTATTATTGCTGTGCACCCAATGTCTTGGAAAAAGTTGGCTGCAGCGATGAATCAATAGTTTACCCTCCCCTTGCCTGACCCTTGCTCTCCCCAAGTAGCATTCCTAAAATTTGCCAGCGATGACAACAACAACTTTCATTTACATAGCACCCTTTAAGTGAAGAGTGCCAAAGCGCTTCAGTGGAGCAATTTTCAAATGAAATCTGATTCCAAGTGACAAGAAGGAGACAGTATGGGTACGAAATTTATGAGTTTGAAGATCTAAAGGCTGATGAAACAGGAAGCAAAATGTCCTGTGAATCAATGATTTTAAGCTTCTCCTGTAACCCTGCTTTAGAAAACTCAGCCTCCAGTCTCACTCAGTTTTACCATAATGGGAGTGGCTGCAAAAGGAAATCCATGATTTGGATTGAAATGCGAGTGGGAGAGTGTCACATTGACAGATATTTTAATTTGGAACCTGCTTGTCACGCGATCGGGAAAGGTCTGTTAAAGCAGTGTGTGAGGACACCAGAATGTGTGGCATTGAGCAAACAACTCAGCTCTTCATCACAGTGCTTTTCCTTAACTTCCTTTCTTTTCGTTGGAATTGTATCCTGTTTCCTTGCTTTCTCACCAAAGTGGGTGTTGCAGATACTGTGGAGGAGCAGGATCCCTTGCTCCCACACCCCAATCCCATCATCCATCTGTGTTGAGCAAAGTGACCAATCCACATTTCGCCAGTCCATAGTATCCCCCATTAGCAACACAATTAACATGGCCTGCCACTGAAACCTACCAACCCCTCCAACTGGCATCACATTCCATCAAATCAAATGTACAGGCCTTTCAATGAATCCACATTCAGTGCTCCCTACCACTTGAGTGTGGGAGCACAAAATGGAGAAAACAAGGAATGAGTACTAACATGGGAATCTGGTAAGTTTTTTCTCTTGAGCTCTAAATTAGATTGAGAGTCACATTCTGATCTGAAACCCACAAACTGTAAGCCTAGTTCAAAAGAAACTGTCTTCCAGTTTCAGGTCTGTCACTCAGTGGAAAGTGGTTACCTGAAGAGGTGTTACTTGATGTGGCAGAAGCTGAGTGAGCACTTAGAACTTGGGTGTGAGTTCCCCGCATTCTATAAAAGTAGCCAGGCTTTGGGGACAATGAGGACTGAGTGTGACCTTGTGAATTTAGTGCAGGTGAGAACTCATTGCAGAGGGGAAAGGAAGTGTTGTATTTTATACCATTTTTCAGCTACCAGTAGCTGGCGAGTGTTCAAAGCCAGTATCTAAAAGAGCAGGTAGGTGATTTCTTGTTAGATTTTAAGATTTTACCCTCTAAGGGGAGATCGTAGATGAAACCAATAGGTGGGAGATAAAAATATTGCATTAAATAACATTGTACATCATAGATAACAATATAGTTGAGTGATATTTCCAAAATTGAAATATAATTAGTTTAATAGAACACGATAAAGGTGCTAAGGAGGGTGATGTGTTGCAGCTGCAGTATATTAGTATGAGTGGATATCTGTATTGTTCACATAGAGTCATAGAGTAATACAGCATGGAAATAGACCCTTCGGTCCAACCAGTCCATGCTGAACATAATCCCAAACTAAACTAGCATCACCTACCTGCTCCTGGCCTATATTCCTCCAAACCTTGCTATTCATGTACTTATCCAAATGTCTTTCAAAGTTGTAATTATACCCACATCCTCTGCACACTTGAGCCATCTTCTGTGTAAAAAATTTGCCCCTGATATCTTTTTTAAATCTCTATTCTCTCACCTTAAAAATGTGTGCCCTAGTCTTAAAATCCTCCATCCTAGGCAAAAGACAATTACTCATTACTTTATAAACTTCTATAAGGTCTCCTTTCAACCTCCTACTCTCCAGTGAAAAATGTCACAGCCTATTAAGCCTTTCCTTATAACTCAAACCTCAAACAAAGAGTTTGCAAAGATCTTAAAGTATAATAATAGGTTCACACAACATTGTGGGCTGAAGGGCTTGTACTGTGCTATACTGTTCTATATTCTATGTTCTACATACAGCTTGTATTTAGAAGAGGCATGTCCTCACTTAAAGTTATATTTGTATTCCTGAAAATTGCAAGTTTGAGTGAAAAAGATTTTCCCTTAAAACTGAAGTAAAAGCTGGAGTTAAGCTCTGTAAGGGCTTTCTCCCTATCAAAAATTACATTAAATACCATACTCTGCATGTTGAAATGCTTTATGTTGCAAAATTCTTATATTGGTATACGATAAACCTTTTATGATAACATACCTGTTGAAATATACAGTAAACAAATATGA